TAATAATAACTTTTTATTTAAAATTTTTTTAAAAAAATAAAAATGACTTTATTTTATTTTTTATTTAATTTTTTCCAATTTTTTTTAGTTGTTTGTAAAGATTATTTATTACTTTCTTTTAAAAGTCATTATTGATTACTCTTTTTTTTTTTTTTTTTTTTTTTTTAATTAGTTGATCTTGAACAATGACACCAAAACAAGTTATTCATACATTAATTTTGATGTTATCACGAGTGAGTTGTAGTGTTCCAGACGAATTCATTATATACTTGACTTAGTAATTACAAGATTCAATGTACACTTGGTTACCAATGTGAATTATCTATTATTCTATTAACCTATTTTATTTGAGATAGTCAACTATGAAAAACTTAGATTGGTTTATCTCTTTGTGTTCCTTTTGTCGGATAGGGTCACAATACGGACTTCACCCAGTGACCCAGAGCGCATTTTCAAATAGTCGTTGCGATTTTTTATGTAAATCAAAATATACATACTTTTAATTTATTTAAGGAATAAGGTTCAAATTGGCCACTGAACGTAACCTGAAAGTGCAATTAGGTCACTGAACGAAAAAAATGTGTAATTAGGCCACTGAACACTCAAAAAATGTGCAATTTCACTTGATAGCAGGTTACCCTCATTTTTAGCAGGTTATCTGCTTACGTGGCAGCTGAGTTGGCATTTTTAATAAATTTTAATTAATTTTTAATAAATTTTAATAATAACTTTTTATTTAATTTTTTTTTAAAAAAAAAAATAAAAACGACTTTATTTTATTTTTTATTTAATTTTTTCCAATTTTTTTTTATAAAATTTATTATTAAAAATGTCAACTAAGCTGCCACGTAAGCAGGTAACCTGCTAAAATTGATGGTAACCTGCTATCCGGTAAAATTGCATACGTTTGGAAAGTTCAGTGGCCTAATTGCACATTTTTTTAGTGTTCAATGGCCTAATTGCACTTTTTTTTCGTTCAGTGGCCTAATTGCATTTTCAGGTTACGTTCAGTGGCCAATTTGAACCTTATTCCTTTATTTAATGATTAATTTTAAAAGTAATTTATTTTCACAATTTTAAATTAAATTAATACAAGGCATGTATGGAGCGTAATACTTCTCAAAAGTTTAATTTATATTTTCGTGAAGACACATAATAATGCATTGGTTTGGTTTGAAGTCGAATATTGAATTTGCGATCGATTTGAACGGTTTAGAATTATTTAGCTTAAAATGACGTCATTTTGAGTGAAATAAATATTTAAAAAAACAGAACAATAGTTAATAGTCAATCACCTAGACGACCGCTTAGGTTGCTGGCCGTGTAAATCACTTATTTTTGTGATTTTCTAGGCGGTCGGTTGTCGCTTAGTGTCTAGGCATTTTTATAACATTAACTTTAATTAAGTCTTATTAAATGAATTAATACATAAAATTTGACGGAAATAGTAATTCTTGTAAGATGATGTCCCTTGTCACGAATCATTTAGAAAGTTGTTTAAAAAATAAATAAAATTAACACACCCATCAAGCAATTTTGATAAGGTGGTTACCGGGTCCCCGAGTGGTGAGTCATGAGTGTTGGAGACCCGGACCCGGCTTTTCCAATCAATTCGGGAAATTAAAGTAAAAAACCCTAGTCTTATATCTCAGATTCCAAGCGAGTAAAAACCCTAGCCGCAGCAGGGAGGGAGAAGAATTCAATCAAAACCTTCGAAGATGACTCAAAAAGGCAATCTTTTCAAAGGGCAACAGAAGAAGAAGTCTATCCCTCCTAATCGCCATGGCAAAGTCCCTAAAACTCGCAAAGGTATGCGTTTCTTTACATACATATACCCTCTATGTAAATTCATATGGTCCTAACGAGATGTTATTTTCGAACTTGAATTGAAGGTAAGAGAGTTGTGAAATCATCAAAAAACACAGACGTGGATCATGTAAGTTTTTATTCTCTTGGTTTCCTTTTCAGTTACCCGGCTTTCTTTATGTGAACAATATGGGGCAAATTCACAAGTATTGATTTCTGTTATTTTCTTGGCTTTTTGTATATGCATTTGATCGGTTTTGGGGGAATTGCAGTTTAATGTGGTTTATATTTACTGAAAAATGTGGTTAATTTGCTGATATTTGTTAATTTTCAGTGCATATAACTTTCATAATCTTTCTTGAGCTAGATTGTTAGAATGAATTTACATCCCCTAAAGTGGAAGTTTATGGCAACAAATTAACTAAATTTCTAGCTAATAAAATTTTCAAAAGATGGTTTTTCAAGCAAAAAGAAGATGGGGGTGTCTTGTAAATGGCGGTTAGCTGTTTGGATTAGTGGGTTTGACTAGTTGATAGCATTAGCTTATTGTAGAAAAGTGTTTGGTAAATTAGCTGTTAGCTCATTACATACAAAATGACTTTCTCAAAAAGCTGATCAAAAAAGCTACTTTGAGCAACTTTTTGAATTTTAGCATTTTGGAGCAATAAGTTACAAAAAGCTCATTAATCAAACATTTCATATTGATTGTTTAACCAAGTCAAACAACTAATAGTGATCAAATAAGCCAAAATTGGCTGATACTATTTTACCAAACATGGCCGATATGAGAGAATTGGCAGGATCTGTATGGAACAGTGAAGAAAGAAAAAGAAAAGGATTCCCTAATGTTATCCCATCCTTTTTTGTATGAAATCACCCTCACTTGTGATCTAATTTCGAGGGATCTGCTGGTCTGAAATGCTGTTTACTTGACCTACTTACTGATTAGGGAAAAAAGGATCAAACTTAAAAGAATGTTCCATAGAATATATTTTTATACTTTTGGATTTGCTTCAATTAACTGTATGATGCCTTTTTTTGTTGTTCAGGAGCTAACGAAGTTCATAAATAACTGCAATGAAGTAAAAGCTGCTACAAGTGCTACCAAGGATGGTGGCTATTTAAGTATAGTTAAGCCACAGCCCGAGTCCTCTAATGCAACAAAGTAATTCTCGTTGGCCAGTGGTTTAAAAGGAGCGAATAGGTGCTATTTATTGTTTGCATGTAAAAGCCAAAATTTTGACCATTTTCTTAGTGTAAAAGCTTTGTTGTAGAAGCATGTTTTGTTTCCATTTCTATGAAAATCTTCAGTTGTGTTTATCCTTCCTGGTCTGCTCTTCATTCAAGTGATGAAATTCCTGTCTGCTCTGCTGAATATTCAACATCTTTTGCCTATTCACTATGCATATATACACTGTAGCATTTGGAATCTTGTACATATTTCTAGAGATCAATCTTGATCCCTCAATTTTGATACTTTTCTTGACCCGCACCCAATAGGCATAGGCACCCCTCACAAGGAGTTGAACTTGAACTTGAACTTTCTGGTTATCAAGTCAATTATTTGACTAACTCGGCAGCTGAGATTGTCCTAATAAAATAATTCTTACGTTCCTAGTAATATTGTAAGAGGATGTCACTTGTGACTTGTCACTAATCATATAAGATGATGCAAAATTGTTTTCATACAAATTCTCCCTTAATATTGTAAGAGAATGTCACTTGTCAAGAATCATTTAACATGGGACTACTTAATTGTGTATTTTGAAAAGAGTTTCTAAATACACGGTCAATTATTTATAAATGCACTGTCTAGTGTAAGGCAGAGTAATAAAGTAGATAAGTGCCTGGCAATTTGACATGTAGAACTGAATTATAACATGCTAGTAGATACTATAAATAATAATGCATGTGATACATTTTATAATTTGACAAATATTAAAAGTTTTGTTAATTTGCAAAGTGTATCCAATATCTTACCATTTTTAGTATTTGGTATTATTATAAATTGGTATGGTGTTATACTTGACTTAACTTTAACCTTTTGTTAAAGTTGAGAGTCTAATATAAAATTGATTCATTACAATACTTTAATTAAAGTGGAGACTATTATTACTATCTTAACTTTTATAAAATGGATGGTACGAAAATTAAAATAGCACAAGCATACTTAAACAAAAATGCTAAACAGTCTTCACAATTGTCACTCTTTGATGTAACAAATTAAAAAGCCATATCACAAACAAGCAATAATTATCCAAACACGCAATTGCCACATCACAAACATACAATTGTCATATCAGGGGTGGTTATTTGTGAGTAATAAATATATACGTATGTACTATGGTCCTTTGAGATTATATATTTATTTGTTTTATCATCATTATTTTTATTGTAAGTAATACAATACAATATCACATTATTAAAGTAAAATAATTTTTCTATTTTGTATATATTAAAATTAAAATTCAATGGAAGACATTTAAATATAATCTCTCACACACACACACATACATTATAATGTTAGACACACCTTTTAAAATGTTTTTCCAATATCTTCTCTTGATTCTTTAATATTTAATTGGAGATATGTGAGACCAACCAATTCATGACACCAAATGAATATTGAGCATCTCTAATAGTTGTAGATTTTGAGGAGTCTTTGCAAGTGTGACTAGCAAATAGAAGATAATAGGGAAGGGAAAAAGGAAAAAAAAAAAAAAAAAAAAGCAAAACAAAATCTGGAAAAAAAATCTTCACCGCCCGGCGCCCAGCAGGCACGTGGAGTACACGCACCTGGCTGAGCGTTAGTTTTGCGTCTCATGTGACGTGGTCTTTGCTTTTTTTTTTTTTTTTTTTTTTTTTGGTGGGTCCTACCACGGGACAAAAAAAAAAGTCTTTAACTAATGAAAAACCACCAAAAAATTCTCCCCTCATTTGTTGAAAAATCATGTTCAAATTTTTAGACATGCAAAAATCTCTCAAAAAGACAAAAACCAGTATTATGATTGCCCTAAATCACATCATAAAAAGAAAATATTATGAAAAAAAAATGAAAATTGTGACGCATTATTAGAAGCAAACGGTGATGACAAAGTGTTGGGTTGAACGTCAAGCATTGCTGAAATTGAAGTTGGCGCATACCCACAAGTCATAAATACTTACGTCTGAAAGTGCATGCAAACCGCGTGCTACAGAGAGACGACACACAAAATTCCAAACGCCTTTCAACTCCATTACTCTTCCTTTCTCACCTCACCCCATCACACCATTCTTAACACTTAGCTTCTTCTTCTTCGTCTTCTTCACTATCGCCATCATATCAGGTCTCCCTCTATCCTCTCTTTTTTACCTTTCCGACCGCTTCAAGACTTCAAGTCTTTAACTTTAGCTTAAATTCTGTTCTGATTTCAGTGATTGCCTTGAATTGCTCTTGGGTTTTGTTATTTGAAGGTATGCTCATCGCGTAGATCTGCGCCTGATGATAAATTCTCCTTCTTTTTCCTTTTTTCTGTTTGTTTTTGTAGTCAAGAATGGAATGTTTTCTGGTTTTATGATCTGGGTTTCTCGGGGTTTGTCAATCTGCAAATCTGGTTAATTATGTTTTGCGGATTCATAAGTAATTAATGTCGGCGAAAACAAGGAAGGTAAGGTTACTTTTGTTGTCTCTTTTGGGTTTTTTGTTCTTACTATATTTGGTATTTCTATAATTGATGTGCCTACTTGTTCTTTAAACAAAACCCTCATCCTCTATACTTCTTCTTTAGCTGAAAATGGAGTCTATCTATATATATATATATATACACACACACAGTAATGATACAGTTGCATTTCTGATTTTCTAGCTGTGAAGGTTGATTGAGCTGAGGAGATATATACATTATTGTTTCTATTAGTTTATTATGGAGGATGAAAATGGTCTTGATCTGAGCTTGGCCTTACCTTGTGGTGGATGTTCATGGAAATCTAAGACTGGGAGGCCATCAAATGTTAAGGCAGAAGAAGGTGATCAAAGAGATTGGATGAAAGATGATGGGAGCTTCTTTAGCAACCTTTCCAGTAAATCTGAAAAGGCAGGCCATAAACGTAAAAGCTGCTTATTTGGGAAGTCAGAAAGGGATGCTCTTTATGCTGCAGATTTGCTTGAGAATACAAGAACATCAAACGTTTCGATTAATGAAGCTGAGGAGGGTTCAACGTCGTATCATGATGATAGCTCCAAACAATGTGATTCGGGTTATGAAGATTTAACTGGGAAAAGGAGGTTTATTGTTTCTTCAGATAAGGAAGCTAATAACACTCAGTTTTCTGTTCCATTCTTAGGCCAACCAGTAAACATCTTAAACATGCCTTACTTTGCACCTTTAAAAGATTCTTCTAATCCTAGTATAGTGCCAATGATGGCTGCTGGATATTCTCCTGTGATGTTGCCCTCATTGGACAACAATAATTCTTTCGCTCCGATTCCTCATTTTCACCAATCTTATACCAGAGCCAGAGCTCCTCTGAGCATAAATAAGGACAATGAGAGCCTGAAGATATCCCAAGGTTTTGTTCCACTCTTTGTCTCATATAGGGATTAAGAATATGAGTCTGTCTCATACCAGGAATTAACAATTAAAGCGAGTTTCTTTTTCTGTTGTGCAGATGTAGCTTCTCAATCTTCCCAATACAATGGGAAGGCAATAGAGCAAGTGAAAAGCAATCATGTCACGAAAGAAGGTTGTTCGTTTAATGGGGAAGAAAACTCGAAAGGAAGCAACATAATCTTCCCTGGAAAACGCCCGTCTCAGGAGGCTCAAACAGATGGATCATCGGCTTCTGAATTCCCACCAATAAGGCTGGGGGTTGCTGCAGATCTGAAATTTGGAGGGTGTGGTTCCTCTCCAGACCTGCCCTGGGTTTCCACAACTGCTCCCAATGGTAAAACAATATCAGGTGTCACATACTGGTTTAGTCCTACTCAAATCAAGATTGTCTGTGCTTGCCATGGCTTACACTTGTCCCCTGATGACTTTGTGCTTCATGCCAGTGCCCAGAAAACCTCCCAAGAGGCTTCGGCTTCGTTCCCGGGCAGCAATTCTGCAGCCTCAGACCAGAACTGAGGGAAATCAACACATTTTTCTTCATATTACTATGTAAAACTCTGCATTTCTGTGCCCAGATTCTTTATCTCCTATAATCTAGCTAGTGCCAGTATCTGCAATTGTATATGTAACTTGTTTTTTTTTAATCATATCTATTTGCAAAATAAACCCTGATGCATTGAATTGTGTAGCAAAAAGAAAATAATTGTGCAATATATTTGGTCTCTTAGAAGCATGTTGTGTATTGGACTTTGCTTTTATTAATATACATATGTCATTGCTGTTGTCTCATGAGAAGAAGCATGACAACTTGAACTCTAGCATAATATCATGTATAATCATATTTTAATAATTTAATTAACACTACCTAATTTACCCATACTTCAACACAAAATTAAAAGTTGGCAGTTGGTAAATTAACTAAGAAATAATATGTTTTCACATTCCTAAGGCAATATGGATTTGATCTTGAAGTTAGATTTGCAAGGATAGGGAGAAAATAACCATTAATTGTAATTGTGATGTTATAGAAGTGAAAGAATATTTGAGGGTATTTCATTGTTTTTATCTGAACAATAGCTACAATGACCAGTAAAGAGGTTGATGGGCCATGGGATCCCGGGGCTCGTTTTATTGGGAAAGTCTTGGACCAAAGGGGTGGCAGATCCAGAAGAATGATGGCCCAAGAAGTTGAAGGGGGTGTGAAAGGAAGCAAAATATTAACAAAGGTCAAGCATGTGACCTCCCGTATAACAACATAAGCACCAACCACCCAAGATATAAGGTAGGATATTTTATTTACTCGTGTGGAGATCGTTAACATTCCGGTAGTGGGGGACACATGTGTGACTAAGAATGAAGACTAGACAATGATATACACATGTCAACCATTAGAAAGGTCATCAACACTATATAAGGCGCCATTGTCTCCCCTTAAAAGTATCCCTTGGTCCTTACAATCGTTCCTAATCAAGTGGTATGGGTTCCTAACTTCCAACATGAAGACTACTCTCTCTAGCTACAATGTCACTCATTCATATTCAATTCCTCCACTAGATCTATAATATTCATTATTTATTCTTTGGGTCATCATTTTGGACCAGTATCTCCGGTTTTATACGTACTCTTTTTGTACAAAACCATCAAAGGCCATAATAGAGTAATATCAGGGTCCCTTTGAAATAGTTATTCCCCTTGTAAGGAGAATATATCATTTCTTGGAATACTATTTTCGGGAATAAAAATGACTTATTCAACAATGAAATACTCTGTAAGCTTATTTGTACGAATACTATTCCATTCCTAGCCTATTTTGTGAACCAAACATGTTATACTCGTAAGAAAGCTAATAAATAGAGTTACTAATTACGCAAGATTTTTCTAATAGATTTATCTCTCTTATATGGTTTACGAGTTTTTCTTGTCCAAAAAAAAAAAAAAAAAAAAAGTTACTGATGAGTTAATACTCAAAACGGTCTTCTATTATTTCATAATTTTTAAATTAGTCCTCAACTATCGATTATTCTTAAATGATTCCTCAATTATGTAAAATTTTATTTATTTTAGTCATCCGTTACTTATATTGAGGACTAAAAATTTTAACATAGTCAAAGAATCATAATAAGTACGTAAATTGGTAATCAAAAATAAATTTGAGAATTATAACATAATCAAGAGACTATTAAAGGTATTATGTTGTTGTTGTTGTTTTTTTTTTTTTGTTTTTTTTTTTTTTTTGAAAATGGGTATTATGTTGTTACTAATTTAATTTGTCAACTATGGGTGGGGAGTGATTGAATAGAAACTTTAGAAATTAAAGGATGTGCCGTAAAGATATAGCAAAAGTATGATCTGTGATGGCATCTTGGCGGGCTGGCGGCTTTCTTCCATTGACTAACCTAAAATCTTGACATGTGCTTCCCCCGGTAAACACTGCCGGACCGGATTTTATTCCGTCCGGCGTTACTTGTCCTCAACCCTTTGCATTTATTCTTTTATTTAATTTTGTTTTAGGGATAATTTCACTTTCATCCCTTAATAAAATATTTCTATTTGTCTCAAAGTATCTGTTTACTTGAATTAATGAGCTTTAATTCGATCGATTATTTCAATTTATGAGTGTTTGATTAAATAACTTTTTGTAACAGTTTATTGCTCCAAAATACTAAAATTCAAAAATCAATTCAAAGCAGTTTTTCGATCATCTTTTTTAGAAAGTCATTTTGTATACATGTAATCAACTATATATCAGCTAAAAATTAATTTGCCAAACATCTTTTTACAATCAGCTAATCCTATAAACTAGTCAAACTCACTAATTCAAACAGCTAAAAACAATAAGTTAACAGCTATTTATCAAACACCACAATGATAGATATAATTGTATGGTAAAAGTGATATATAATAACAGGGTGATAATAATGTAGGAATAGTTTTGTCTAATAATAATGCCATAAAATATTTGTCGAATTTTAATCCAAATCCTCCTTCAAGGATTTAATACTATATATATATATATATATAAACATGGATGTAAAAATTGATTGTCCCACGCCCAACTAGAAATTTTACATTTGTTTTCACGTGAACAACATATGAGGCATTTATCAAATTCAAATCTATTTAATCACTAGGCACTTTAAATTTAACAGTTGATCGAGTATACTTTTATTGTGACTAATATATTTATTATTAGTCTGTAGTAAATGGGCCAATGGTGACTTTTACATAGAGTTGAATTTAAAATTTTTGTGATTATTATCAAGCTAATAATGTTCGACCAATTCGATTATGTTACCCCTAATTAATATTTTAGTTCTCTTTGACAACTAGTTGGCACCAAAAATTAGTACAAAAAAGTAAACCACTATATCCGAAAGGGTTGGTTGATAAGTTGGTAGAGCATAATTCTCGTACAAAAAGAATTATGAGTTTAATTTTTATTAATATCTTTCTTATGTGTGATTTGTGGCCTATTACACATAAACATGAGTGAGATTATATTTATTCAATACACGACTTTATGTAGTAGTTGTGAGTTACCTTCATCATTAAAAAAAAAAAAAAAAGAGTAAAGAAGAAAGTAAATATGCGTATTTACATACGCATTAGAATCCAAGTCCACCACGTATGTGTGTCATTTGAGTTTTCGACCTAATTGTTAATTTAATACTAATTTATTATATTAATCGACGTACTATGTTTATGTATAATGTGTTATTGGTCCCCATTAGATCATGCATTAACAAAATGAATCACGCGTTGGCTATATTCGAAGTTAGTAGACAAAACCATAATCAAGTTAACTAATTGCTCCTTGTATATTCTTCAATATAAACATTTCAAATTTCAATGATAGCTACATTATTGATAAGAATATTATGCAATGTGCTCGTCTAAACCGTCCACATTCTAATCAGTCCAAATTATTAATTTTGTTTATTATATGTCAACCTACACCACTAAAAAACTCATATTCTATTAAAAAGTGATTAAAAATTAGAGTTTGTGATTAGAAATGACCTTTAGATCACTTTTGGTATTAAAAACATCTTTTGATAATATCAACTGGTTACATAAGTGGCCAATAATATCGACTACCTAGTAAGATTATTGAAAAATATGGACAACTAACACAACAATAATAATTAGTGATTCATGTGTTTCTAACTATCGGGTTAATGAACTTTTCTAATTAATGTTTAATGGTCAGAAAATATATGTATATCCTACAAAAACTACATTGAGCATAATTCCTGTATAATAACTCACAATTTACACAGGAAAGTTAAAAATTTAATTCTCGTATAATAACTCACAATTTACACAGGAAAGTTAAAATTTTAGTTTGACCTGTTAGAAATAACCTATTCCTAACATTGATTCTTATAATAAATGTTGTAATTCCATAAGGTACTAATGATTAGTGACGTGTAAATGCGGAATTACTGGGTGAAATTCCCCTCCTCTCATTCTGTTACGGAGTATAATTTAAGTTTATAATGGTTAAAAGAAAGATGTATGTTGGAAAAGGTGATGGATTTCCTCAAAAGAGGTTTTACATACCTAAACGAATTTAAAAGAGGTTTCACATTGTTTTCTATTCTTAAAAGGAGGTTTCCATTCCTCTTGAAAGAGAGTTTATCATCACATCTATAAATACTAAAGAAAACTCTATGATCATCAAGTTTTCCAGTCTCCAATGGAGGTGATTAAAACATACATGTCAGAGATGTGAAGCATTCTTGATTTATTTGATTTAGAGATTACATCTTCAATGGAATAAGTAAGTTTTATCAATAATCATGAATATTATTTAGTTAATTGATTTGATTTACCTGCAATTTATTGTTAATTGTGCTTTCGCATTCAAATTATAGCGGATAGAGGTTTAATTAACATCACCTATACCAAAAATTGGTTATTTTCCATATGCAATGAAAATCCATATGCATTTCATGTAGGCTGGGACTTCTCCCTACTCCTTGACTCTGTATAGTTGTTAATTTCAAATTGATGTTGCAACAACATTTGACTTTTCATAAACCGCCCTATGCTACAAAGAAAAATTATTTTCTTTTAGTGGTGATGTGTTAATGGATAATTATCAATTGAAGCAATTCATATATTCTTTTTTTTTTAAAGGAAATTGTAAGGAACTTTGAGAAATTTCCACTTCAAACTTTAGAAGTAGTTATTACCTGTCCAAATAAATTCTGTAATTCCCATAGCAATCACATGTCAAACTTTGACACTCTTTTTAAATTCATATAATAAATAAAAAAAAATTAAAATGTCAAAAAATATCAAAATTGTGACACTCTTTTCTTATAATAGTAGGTTATATGTCTTTTTTACGGGGTAAAATTGTCTATAGTATAACATTACTTTTTATTAAAACTTGATGTAGTTTTGTCCGACTAGCTCATGATACAATGAATCAATTCACACATATTATGTAATGCATAAATCAAATTTTAAATTTTTTTTTTATTTTTATTGTGTCAACCGGAGACATGCATATATATGGATTGGTTCAAGTAAAAATATGTATTTCCGAGTTTCTATAAAAAGTACGACAATACACTGATGAACAAAATTACAAAGTGCATTTGGTATTACGTAAAAAACACTTAATAGGCTGCACTTATACATATCATCAGATGCACTTTGTAGTTTTGTGTGGTACACTTTTAGCGTTTAAAACACTTATCATGTATCATATCATCATTCGGTACAAAAATTTAATATAAATTCTAGTTTTCTTGTGTAGAATAATGATATAGTTGGAAAGATAAGTTGATGAACTAAGATCCCAACCCACAGTTACTATTATTGGCAAGTTGTTAGTATCATATGTATGCACACAATTATTTGATCAGCCTTCCCACCTTTGCATCACTACATACATAAATCCAAATTTATAATTCGGAATACCTAAAAACAACTTACACTATTAAATATACAGAGATTCTGGCACAGAAGAGATCAGCAGAGAGAGAAAAAAGCCCATAAAGACACCAAGAAAACAGACAAACCAGAAAGAGCATAACAGAAAAAGTCAGAAACCAAACCACTGTCAAACCTGAGATTAAAAATCTTGTGGGTTTCTTGAAACTCTCCAAAATTTCACTGTTTCCTAGGAGAAAGATGAACATGAAGATGATTATTCTGGTACAGTTGATGGTGTTCTTGAGTGTTAAAGCCCAGGAGAAGGCATCTGCAGAAGAAGAAGATACAGTGAACAATTTTGAGCCCAGTTTGGCTGTTGTGATTGGCATACTGTCTGTTATATTTTCTTTAACTTTCTCTCTTCTTCTCTATGCAAAATTCTGCCACAGGCCAGCATCTTCATCTGTTCATCACAGCAGCAACCTGAGGATTCAAGATGGGCTTGTGAGATCAAGGTCTAGGTTCTCAGGGATTGATAAAACAGTGGTGGAATCTCTGCCCTTTTTCAGATTCTCCTCGCTCAAGGGGTCGAGGGAAGGGCTTGAATGCTCGGTCTGCCTTGCTAGATTCGAAGACGTGGAGATTCTGAGGCTGTTGCCAAAGTGCAAACATGCTTTTCACATTGCCTGCATTGATCAGTGGCTTGATAATCACTCAACCTGCCCTCTCTGCAGGCATAAGATTCGCCCCGAAGATCTTTCGACTCTGCAATACTCAAACAGTCTGAGGTTTCTGGGGAGTTTGAGTTTGAATTCCCAGTCTGAATTGAGGAGAGAGGACTCCAATCTTGAGCTTTATATTCACAGAGAAGAGAATATTAATAATTCCCAGTCCGGGTCTTCAAGATTTAGCATTCTCAGCAGCTTCAGGAAACCTGGTTCTCTGCATAGTTTGAATCATAGGATTAACATTGTATCCGAGGTTGTCCTCAAGAACAGGTGGAGCAATGTCAGCTCCTCAGACCTCATGTTCTTGAGCTCTGAAATGATCCATGATTTAGCCACCACCAGATTCTCATCCCTGGACAGAAACTCTGATCCTTCCATGGCTGCCAGGGTGATTGAGGAACAAGAAAATCCCAACAAGGGGGCAATGAACATCAAGGAAGAAATCGAACGAAAAAGACAGTTCGAAATTAAGATCAAGCAGAACTATGATTCTTCATTCCTTCCATCATCTTCAGAACCAAGAATCCATCCAAACGCTTCCCAGAACCAGAAGAGATCCATGTCAGAGATAGTAACCCATCCAAGATTCAGAGACTTTAACTTCAAGAACAATGGGAGCACAGAGTTCCCAGATTCTGCAGAGAATCATAAAAATGTTAAGGAGGAAAGGAGGAGAAAGGCTTGGCTTCCAATTGCAAGAAGAACAGTTGAATGGTTTGCCAACAGAGAAACAAGATCCTCAAACACAAGACAGTCTTTAAATGTATAAACAATAATCTTACTATATTATACTATAATGTTTGCACCCAGATCTTGTAGTTTAGTTTAGCAGTTTAAACATGTAGCAGATCAGAATGTTTCATGTTCAATTCTCATTCTGTATATTGTATTGTTCCAATTTTGTTTTTCCCTTTTTAGGATTATATATTTCAATCTTGAAGTATATATTGGTATTGCTCCAAGATTGTTTTTAGTATCCATTTGCTAAGTATAGTAAATAATATCCAGTTACTAGCTATATATAGTAAATAAGAATTAGAGTATTCTGGTAAGTTAAAGAAAGTCAGGCAAAGTGCTGCATTCTAGCCTGGTTTTGTGGAAAGTTTGATTCTTAGAAGAATCAAGTTGTGTATAAATAATTCTGGGTAAGGAGAATCTTTTTGGACTTACAATGATATAATAATTACATAGAAAAAAATTGTTCTTTTAGTGAAATTTTTATATCAATAATAATTATGGGGTTATATAACTATACCACAGAGTCTAATACGTTAGTGTCGTCCCAATCGACTAGCTAGATAGAGGCAATGCTTGACACGATGTCTTGTGGCTGTCTGCCCCTCTCTACGTATAAAGACGTGTCACGTCAAGCCCACTTGCCATTAGTCATCATATTATTGGTTAGAATCTTTATTCACAACTATACATTATACTTAGCATTTGTATCTTGTCTTTCCTGAATGATTTAACTTACTCTAGATCAATTTATCGACTCAATATAGGAATATAAATACACTTATATATTAAGATGATGATAAGTGATAATTTTCTTCATTTTTGTGAATTAATAGCATTAAATAATTCAAAAAGTTAGTTCATGTAGCATTATATTATTCAATGACATGATAAATCTACTGCTACATCAAATAACGTAACGTGTAGGCACTTAAATTGGATCAAAATTTTCTATTTTTTCTCTATAAATTTTCCGTGGAAAACTTGTCTTCCAACTAGAAAATTGGTCAAATTTGAAGGGTGCTGGACTGCAACTTTATCTGACTTCAATGTTTGGTAACAAATGGAAGTATTTCAAAGCTAAAAGAAAAAAATTACATAATTTGTTCCATTTTATTTCTATATATATTTAATAAAGGTGTATATTTTTAGGTAATAATGAAAATTTCACTTAAGTGTACCTAGTGCGATGAGTTTGGCTAAGAGAAATAATGTTCCACTTACTCAGTCAATTATTTTGGAGCAATTTTTTTTATATTTTATTATGTTTAAGTAAGAGGTATAGTTTCATTAAGTATTGAACCGAGATGGTGCATGCAAGCACGGTAGGAGTCTCCATAGAATAGAATAAGGTCGTGCCCAAGGTAAAAATTAAAAAAAAAATAACAATTTATATCAATTTTAAATAAGGGATTATTTTTACCATGTTTAAATATATATTTAACAAAGAAAGTATAAAATAAATACTACATTGTACAAGAGTTAATAGTACTAAAAAAAAAATTAAGAGTATTTGAAAAATTTGTTCAACATGAAAGAGATCGTTGTCATCATTCATAGAATCCACAAAATCGTCATTATATTGCCTGTTTTTCTACGCAACTATTTTGCACAAGGAATACGTCTTTCATTGCATTACTTAATATATACATGTCTTATTTGGCATAGCAATGTGGGATTATAGTGGATTACAAAGCCCATCTAGTAATAACATTTGAGTTAATTCCATTTTTTGTCCTAGATTTATAGCTGACAGTCAAAAGAGCACACAATTGGAACCACATCAACCAAACATCATTAATAAAGATGTTGGATTTAAGATTACACAAAGTATTAATAGCTTTTACAAAGTCTCTTTACATAGCAAATGAATTCTGATAAAAGAATATACCCTTCCCTTCACTCTCAGTTGCTGCAAATTTTATCATTCTTCAATAACCAATGCCTAAACACTAAGAGGCCAGAATCACACTAAACTGGATTCTATTCACCAATTACATTCTAAACACTTATCCATATACATCTTCATGTATTTACACAGCTGCAGTAATTTTTTTTATTTTTTTTTTAAAAAAGAAAGATATGTGTGTTTTTATGGCTCATTTGGTAGAATTGACGAGAGTTGAGATGATCTGGGAACCGATAGCGTTTTATGTGGTGCTGGGGAAATCAACTTCCCGATATAGTGGAAAAAAGAAAAAAAGAAAGCAAAACCTCAATTTAAGTGCTACCATTCTTCAAGCCATTCTGGAGTGTTAAGATCTTTCGAGTCGTGGGAAGGGGATTGCAGAGAAGCGATGCTGTCATCAGTACGGTTTACCAGGTATTGGTTTATCCTAGAGACGATCTCCGGGGGAGCAGGAGCCGTTCTGTCTGTTACCCCTTTCCAATCGAAACCTTCAAACCATGGATGGGTTTTGATAGAGTCGACACCGCCTTGAGTTCCAAGTCTCGAGTTCTCATCAACTTCAAGTAACTGCATGGCGTTTTTAGTTAAAATCTGTGTCACACTTCTTTTATTGCAAAAACAAACAAACAAGTACATACTACCTTGGAAATGAGATCAACAACTTCATGGCTAAAAGTTTCTGGAAGCGTTAACTGCCCTTTTGCGATTCGAGCGAAAGTAAGCTCACTCTCTCTCCACGATCCAAATGGCATTTCGCCTTGTAGCATGAAGTATATCAGCGTTCCCAAAGCCCACCTGCAAGGATTAAACCAACAAATTTTAGGCTCTGAAACCACTTCAAATGGGTCACAATAAGGTAAAGTGAAGTAACAAAGAAATAAAAGCAGCATTGCACCAGTCAGCCGCAAAACCATGGCCTTTCCCTTGGACTATTTCCGGAGCTAAAGAGTCGGCCATCCCACATATTGTAAACGCTCTCTGACTCTCGTCAGATAATTTCTTTGCAAATCTGAAGTCCACAAGCTGTTTAGAAATCGAAAGAGAATTACTATTAATTACAATAACTGATGGATCTCAGTGCTGCATTATGCTTATTTCCCAGGAGTCACCCTTGTGATTATTGTAAGTCAAGCACGCTTAACCACCACAGAGTTCTTTGGCTATCTGGTTGTCATATCCTACTTAAAACCAATTGGTGATAAGTAGGTGAACATTAACCATTTAACCACATCCCTCCATGGTAAGCCACAGTGTCACGTCTCGAATCGAGCAGGGGCTGAACTCGGCCGACGCCCGACACTTTCAAGTATTGCCTTTTTTTTTTTTTGGTTCCCGTCCATAGTTAACGACCAAGATTCTAATGTATCCAAAGTTCAATGAAGCTATACAAGAATACGATATAACTTACCCGTATGTGTCCAGTCTGGTCTAACATTAGTACCTCAGGCGACACGCCTCTATACAGAATCCCATGCTGAAATGGATTAGAAAAGGGCGTGAAATCTCGAAACCATCTTGGCCTAACAGGCGTGAACTTAAAGACAAAGTACCTTATGCAAGTCCTCTAAGGCGGTAACAACTGACGCAGCGCAAAACCGTGCAGATGCCTCATCGAGGGGAATGTGAAGGATCGAAACCAAAGAGCAAGCGAGACGTGTATCTAAAAGTATGCCGGCATGAGTTTGATCTGCGCAAGTGCAAATAACTCGAGGCACACAAGATGTTGAGGCCAGACGCTTCAGTAACTCCTTTTCTTTTAAAACTTGTTCTTCTTTCCCGAGCTTTTTAACCATCAGCTTTGAAAATCTCTTCAGGCTAAGCAACTTATCTGCAGAAATGAGGAAAAAACAAAAAACAGTTCTAGGTTTCTGTAAAATGCTGAGAATCCTGTCTTACATTTGATTTCCACTAAATTTTCCTATGATGTTATTGTTTGGTTCATCAAGAAAGACTACCAAGGTAAAAGTGTCAAGGACTGCAAATTATATCGTGACCCTTGATCCAAAACGACGTCTTTTTGTCAAAATTTCTGTTTTTTTTTTTTTTTTTTTTTTTTTTTTTTTTTCCATTTATATGTTCAAAACCAACCTGAGTCTTTCAAACGAACAAGGCCAATCTCACTGCAGTCTGTGGAATAAAGGCATGTCTTCCACTCCTAGGTAAAATAATCGGTAAATGCAGTCATATCGGAGTCGCCTACACAAGATTTTTGGAATTCTAAATTGAAAAGGGGAATGGCAACCCTACCAAATCAACGAGTTCCAAATTTGCAAGAACTGAAGCGTCGAAGCTTTTGTTAGATTCTTCAGAGATATTTGACGGGTAGTTGTTGGCCCTATAATTAATTAAATCAAAGGGAGAACTTCTCGTTAGTGATGTCGAATGAAATTATAGTGACAGAAAATATAAAAGATATTCAATTGTTGCTCCCGTTGATTTTTTTTTTTTGTCAGACCACGAGGTGTCCTAAGCATGCCCTTAACTGTAGGAGACACCTTTAAGCCCGTACCATACTCAGACTAATCCCCGTTCGCACCGGTCCAGCCTAATTAAGGACAAAGTGCTGGCCAGATTGGTTTTTCCACACAAGAGGGGGTTTGAACTCCCGACCTCTCTTGAGGGACGAGAGTGCACGGCCACTCACGCCAACCAAGCTGGTTCCGTTGAATATTATTTCACACAGAAGATATAACATACTTGAGATCGTCCTGTGAGAGCTTTGTCAAAGGGCCCATGACGGAATCGAACTTTTCCTTTGTTAAGATAGAGCACACAACATCGCCCACAGCAATGGCACTCAAGGAGCCAACACGTTCACCGAGAAGTGTCCACTCTCCAAAATAGCTTCCTTCGGTCTTTTGCAACGAAACGCCCTTGCTGTTTCCCGCCAAATCCTGCCTCTGGTTTTCGCAAATGAGACTCGATGCGTTTTCGCTTTTTACCGTGTTAATGTCAAATGTAATCTTCACTTCCCCTTTCTGGATGATGTACAGGCCAAGGAGATCTTCACCCTGAAATATATGCGAAAAAACAAAATTAAGAGAAATATACGAAGGAGCTTTTGCATTTAGAACTTAGAAGAAGAGGGAAATAACGAATACCTTATTTACTATAGTTTGCCCATCTGAGAAAGTAATTTCTGAAAGAGAATCTGCCATATGATTTAGCTGTAAAATCGTCAATCTTGAAAGGAAATCTACAGAACGAAGCAGTTTCAATGACGACAAATTAGAAAACTCTGACGTAAGAATCCCTCTAAAATCTTCTCTTTTAAGTGCCCAAAGAGTTCCACTTGTCAC